TTAATATCCTTCCATTAGGAATTAATGTTATTAATCTGGACTCTGCAAATTTTGTATTAGATATCATGCATTTTGCTTTCCAATCTCGTCTCCTTGAGTAAATTAAAACAAATGGAGTCTTCTTCAACCCGCATTAAGGGCTCTTGATAGCCGATACCATAAATGCAATCAATTTGAATTCACTTTTCAAAAATTATAAATTATTAGCATTTCCAAGAGTGTGATAATTATATAATAAGATTAGTGGCACCTAAACCTCTAAATGAGCAAGGAGAGTCGAGATTCGAGAATAATGTTAAATGTCATTGTAGAAAAATAAAAGTAATTTTGTTCTCACTATAAGAAATAATTATGGTGAACTTGATACAATGAAAACATTCATGCTAAATAAAATTACTGGAATAGGTTAGTATATGACATTAGAGAGAACAATTAACTGTCCTTCGAGCTAAAATACGAATGTTTACTACTGTATAATTAAAAAAAAAATACAATTTTTATAAAATATTTTTTGTATCATTTTTGAAAAATATTTTTTCAATTAATGAGGAAAACATTAAAATAATTTTTGATTTTAGTAATTTTAAAAAATCATCTCCTTACCTTAAAATTTCATGACGTGTTTTTCTAATTAGAAAATATTTTTTCCTTACCTTAAAACAAGACCCATTTTGATTCCCAAAAGCATTTATAAGTACTTTTTTCTACAATTTATAAGTATTTAAATTGTAGTTCTCAAAGGCACACATGACATGCAAGTGCAGGAGTTAAGTGGATTAGTGGTACTCACATATTACATAATTATTTTTAAGTTAGTTTTTTTGCTTCCAAACAAAGACATCACAATCAAACATGTTGAACTTGTCATGAAATTAAATGGAATTGTTTCCCAATATCATAACAACACAAAACTAGCAACTTATTACATGATTGAGAAAGATTTTTCTCCATCGTATTTTTCCCCCTCTAAAATCTATTGTGTAAATTATGAAGACTTATTTTGTAACCTTTATGAGAGGAACTATATATCCTAAGAAAATGCACTAGTTTTATAATCAAGCTTGTAAGAGTTGTAGGCGGCAAAGATAAGGGGAACCGGACACAACCAAAAGTCCTCAAAAACCTGTAATTTGGTGGACAGTTGAATAGTTTTTCACAGGGAGAGATATTTTGAAGAACTGGAGTAGGCAAATAGTTGATCTGGGTGGCAATAGTGAGAAATGCCTCGCCCCAAATTTTTAAAGAAAAGATGAAGTAGCTAGCGATGCCAAATCGCCCCATTTCAACTATATATATCTTCATCTTTTTTGGTGTACCATTCTACTGATGTGTATAAGGGTAACATAGTCTCTTAAGACATGTCATATGTGGCTAAAAAGGGGAAGAATTTCATGTAAACTTTCCTAATTGTATGTTTGCAAGGCTTTAATTTTAGTTGTAGATTGTAATTACACCATGCTTTTGAAAGTGCTGAAAATAGAATAGGCTTGAAATTTAGCTTGTAAAAGATAGATGCAAATGAATCTACTGTAGCCATCATTAAAAATAATGAAATACCTGTACCTGACAGGCTGACACCATTGCTTTTATTGACAGGTGTAGAATGCCATATATAAGAAAATTTTAATTCAAGTTGAAAATGGTAAACTACGGAGGAGGTTGGAAAAGGTAATAGACTGCAACACGAACAAAAAGCAGATGCATTGTTATAATCTTTAAATGGAATTTTACAGTTCGATAAAATTTGTTCGAATACTTCGATAGAAACATAACCAAATCTGGCATGGCAATGAGAACAAAAGATCAATTATTTTGTACAAGTGAAGAAGACGTAGGAGCGAGTTGATGAAGAAGTACCCTTTGAATGTGCATGCTGATTGATGAAAGGGAAACTTTTTATAAAGAATTAATTCAACCCAAAAGTTTAAATTGTTGGATGAGACTGCATTAATAATTTTATATTTTTCTAACAGTTTCCTACACGAGAGTTCATTGAGCTTGAATGATAGATAATGTGTCAGGCCTGTCAGGTGGGTCCAAGGGAGGAGCTTGTGGCAAGGGATCACCACCAATGGGCTAAGTTAGGCCAACTACACAAAGTGAGTCCGACACCATGCAACAATCCAAAACTTTAAGGCATTGGGTTCTTGGGGTCCTGCCACTTATATGGAACTTCAGTTAGCTTATTACCAACCAGTGTGAGACTCACCACCAATGTTATAAAAACCGACCCGGTTATCGAACCGGTCAGAGTGATGGGTCATTGAGTCACTAGTTCAACCAGTGGATCACTGGTTCAACCGCATGACCCGGATATATATATATATATATATATATATATATATATATATATATATATACTTTTTAATTTTTAATTTGGGATATTAGTTATAATTTTTTATTTTAAATTCAAATAAATATGAATATATTACTATTAATAAATTAATAAATAAAAATAAAGGTGGACACATGTGAATAGAAGAAAAAATTATACATGAAAATATATGAAAATATAAAAGATTTCAAAATTATTAAATTTTCCTTGTGGGTTTACGAGAAGAGTGAAGTTACATTTGGCCCATTTCAAAAAAAATTGAAGAGGCCCAAATTTTCAAAACCCTAATATTCCCATTTCACATTGAACATTGCCTTCCAATCTTAGCTAGAAAAAAGCAGTAGCCGCCTCAGTTCATTTTTCGCTGGTTTTAGCCAAAACCAGAAACGAAACCAGCATATAAATGGTTTTCGCATGTCACTAACTCTCGAAGTCCAGCCGCCTCTGTCTCATTAACCCTTCGTTGATTAGTCCTCTTGTCTGTTTTCTGGTTTCTTTTCTGGTTTTCTCTCCTCTGGTTCCATTTCTGGTTTATCTCTTCTAGTTTCGTTTCTGGTTTCATTTTTGGTTTTTTTCTTTTGATTTCGTTTTTTTTTTTTGTTTCTTGATGTAGTGCCTTCGATCTGTGTAAAAAAAATACATAGCCGTCACTACTTACGTTATCAGTGAGGGAATATCCAAGTGTTTTTTGAACCGGCGGGTCACCGGTTTTAGCAAAACTCGGCTGGTTCGCACCGAGTCAAACCGGTTCACCTGCAAGTCCGATCCAATATGCTACCCGGACCGGTCACACCACCGGTTTACCGATTTTCGGGTTGAGTCGGCCGGTCCAGTTTTTACATCATTGCTCACCACACTTGAATATTCCAACAATCTCCCTCTCAAGTGTGAAACTCACCATTGATACACTCCACCTCGACCGAGTACCCCAGGGTCAAAGTACTCAACTCACCTCTTAACCAAACACCTAGCTAGCTCGAGCCCAACCCGACTCTGATACTACTGTCAAGCGGGTCCAGATGAAGAGCCTGTGGTGGGGGACCACCACCTATGGGCAAAAGCTAGACAAACCACACCAAATGGGTGCGACACTATGTCTCAACCAAAACCTTAAGGTATTGGGTTCATGAGTCCTCCCACTTATATGGATTTCACTTAGCCCATTACCAACTAATGTGAGACTCATAACATTTGAATATTCTAACAAGGCCTAGCCCACTCGTGCTAAGAAACTCTATAATATTTAATTATTTTTATTAATAGAATGGAGGCAGTGATGATTGAACTTATGATCACTTAGTCACGTCTACTCTAATATTATTTAAAGAATTAATTCACCCTAATAACTATTAAGTGTAACTACATTGGTGATTTTATATTTCTCAACACTTTTATTACATTAAATGCATAATGGCTGTAAGAACCCGCACCGTTAATTAAGGAATTTTAATTAATTAATTATGCAAAAATAGGAAATGATTTCATAATTGACCCTAATAATTATTACGAGGCTTTAATAATTATAGTAAGTGATTAAGAATGCTGAAAGTCGCTTTTCGGAAGAAAAGTGCAGATACCGGTTCTGCTAGTCGGTATAAATGTATAGCAAAAAAGTATCCCGGAAAATTATAATAAGTGCATGATAATTACTAGAATAATATGTAGGACTTGTAAAACGAGTTTCAAGTCCAAATAATGAGAACTAGTGCTAGAAACTGGTACTAGCTTTGAAAAGCGCGTACCGGAAAGGTGCTCCGAAAAATATAATAAAAATATGATAATTCTTCGAAAAATGTGTAGTTTCAGATTCCAAAATTTGGGGATTAAAATGCTAAGCGTAGCATTTAAAGTTAATACAATGTGTTTAATTGTTAAACCACTATATATAGCCTTATGATTGGCACATAACCTTAGGACCTCAGTTTTTGTGCGTGAAAGTGGCTGACCAGAACCTTGAAACACTGTTCCATAGGCTTCTCTTCTCCTTTCTTGAGGTTTGAAGCCATTTTCTTCACACTTTCTTCTTGTAGACACCTTGAGTGAGTGGGAAACACTATGGTGAGTGTGTTGGGAGCATCATTCTGAGTTTTTACCTCTGTTTGGAGGGTCCTTGGTTGCTGACTTTGGGGGTTGAGAGTGTTGAGCCATTGTGGTGGCATTTTGGAGCTTAAAGAAGCTTCTTTGTGAAGAAAAGACCAACCTTTTGTGTTGCATTTTCGTACACCTTATTTCCAGAACCTGTAGAGACAGTGTGGTGAGTAGGGGTGTAAATGAGCTGAGCCAAGCCAGGCTTTAGCATAAATAGGCTAGGCCTGTATAGAATATTTTAAGCCTGGCCCAGCCTCTTAGCCTATCGCAAGCTAAAATATCGGCATGGCCCGGCCTGTTTTTAGAAAACACAAAACCTGGCCTGGCCTAGCAGGCCTGCTAACAGAAACATATTGCAAACCTTCTATATGTCTATAAGATCTTTTAATATTTTTTTTGTAATAGTGCAAAATATTAAAATTTATCTCAGAGAGTCAATTTTAATTGAAACCAATAACGATAGTCTAAAAATACTCAAAATAAAATGCCGGAGTTAGGTGATCAGAGTACACACCACAAAAATTGAGAAAATAACACTTGAAGTCTTGAACCCAGTACAATACAAAAAAAAAAAAAACTAAGTTCCCATGTTCAATTCACAATTCTCCACAACCCAATGTAGCAAGATCTTAATCCTTAAGAGACCAAAGAGACCTTCACCAACAATATGATCATTCTTTATACAAGCAACATATAAAATAAGGAGCAGTGAGTCAGTGCCCATTCTTTATACCACCTGAATACAATAGAAAAAATCAGAAGAAAAAATTTTATTCAAGGGAACAAATGATGATAATATAAATAATTACAAGTCTTGTTCAATCGAGGCACCTTCATACAAACAATTTGATATCATTTGATGTTGGCTCATCCTACATTAAAAATAAATTAAATTAGATTCCTATTGAAATTTAAATCAAATACAACAAAATTGTAAAACAAACTTAATTACTTAAGTTGATACCTTTTGCTTTTTTTTCAAACCATACTTGTTGCGTAGCCAATCTCCACCACAAATTAAAGCTTGAATAGTGTTTTCAGCTAGGCTAGCACGATACGCGTCAATAACTCTTCCTCCAGCACTGAATGTGGACTCTGATGCTACTGTAGAGATTGGAACAGCAAGTATGTCTCTTGCCATCTTTGATAAAATTCTGTACTTTGAACTATTATTCTTCCACCATTCCAAGACATTGAAGGAAAGCTGAGTTTTTTCATCACATATATAAACATCCTCTTCAAGATAACATTTTAACTCTGATTTTATTGGGGGGACAACTTGTTTTTCTCGCACCATGTTCATGATTTTAGCAAAACCAGAACCAAGTGAAACTTGAGGTGGACGAGTGGAAGATGATGATTGATTCATACTAGCTTCCACTTCATTATTAGAGGATGACTCTTGCAAACTTAGAGCAAAAGACTCATCGTATAAATCCTCTAAAGCTTGATTCACTTTTTCCACATTATAATTTGCCTCATTTTCTGATTTGTATATTAGTGGGAAACAAATATTTGCCACATGAAATTTACATCGTGGGTCCAATACACTTGCTATAGCCATCAACAAATTGCATTCCCCCCAATATTTGTCAAATTTTTCTTTCATTGGCTTTGCCGTTCCTCTAATAAAATCATCAATATCTTCAACTGCAGCATCAATCACTTCTTTAATCCTATAAACTTCAGGAAGATATAGATTGGTTGTGGGGTAATCACTTCCTGATATGACATTAGTAGCAAGACTGAAAACTTCTAAGAGATTACAAACTTTTTCAACCTTTTCCCAATCCTCATTAGATGGCAAGTAATTATAGTGTGGCTCCCTCTCTTTGTATTCTGGAAATACATCTTTGAATTTGCAAGTAATAAATAACATTTCATATGTTGAATTCCATCTAGTGGGACAATCAATAACTAACTTCCTTTCTTTTATTCCCATCTGCTTAACTATATCGCTAAATGTCTTCAACCTTGAGTCAGATTGATTAACATATTTAACACTTTCACGAACATTTTCAATGATATCCTTTATCTGACCAAGACCATGTTGTACCAATAAATTCAATATATGTGCACAACATCGCACATGAAATAACTTTCCACTAAGGACTAAATTATTGTTTCTTGATAAAGTGCCTTTGAGGTTTCTTATGCAAACATCATTATAAGCAGCATTATCAACCGACACTGAAAATACTTTACTTTCAATACCCCATAATTGCAAACATTTAAAAATTGCATCAGAAACATCAACTCCACGCCTTGGAGGTGGCACTTTAACAAAACTCAAAACTCTTTTTTGTAAATTCCATTCTTAATCAACAAAGTGGCAAGTGATAACCATATATTCAGCAACTTGGTGACTAGATCTCCACATATCAGTGGTTAAACTTATCTTATTCACACTCATCAGTAAAGCTGTAATAATTTTTTTTTTCTGCCTCATATATTTTCATGCAATCATTTTTTGTTGTCTGACGCGAGACTTTCTCAAATTCATTATTAGCAAACTTAAAGCCCCACATCCAAATTGTATCATCCACAATGCTAAAAGGATACTCATGAACCATAATAGCAGTAGCAATAATTTCTCTCATCTTTTCATTAGAATAATTACCTCCGGGTGTAAGGAAAGGATTTAAGGAAGAATTTGCCGGTTGAAATGCTAGAGTGGATTGCTTATGTCGTCCTTGGTCTAATTTCCTTTGCAAGCAATTTTGTGAATGCCTCCTCAAATGGCTAGTGCTGCCTCCATTTCCACCAGTAGCAAATCTACATTTGCAATAGTTGCAAACTGCTTTTTGCCCACCCTCAGGGAGTTCAACTTCATGAAAGTCATTCCAAACAAGTGATGTTTTCCTCTTCTTTTTTGCTGTCATTGATTCTCCACCATCTCTTACTTGTTCATCTCTTACTTGAACTTGACTGGAGGAGTCACTTGATATCTTAACCCCATCATTTCCACTTGGATTAGAGTCCACTCTTCTAGCCTATAACAACATGACATAACATAATAAAATATTAGATACACAACATAACGTAGTATAATAATATGCTTCAAAGAGAAAGAAGGGCAGTATAATAATTATTACTTGGTAACTATTTTAGTTATTCTGCAAAAAAAAAAATACTTTTCGATACACCAAGCCGAACCTGATAGTCTCTAATATTAATATGCTTGCCATCGGTTACCCAGATCAGCTACCCAAATCGGTTACAATTTTTTTAATATTCTGCAATCGGTTACAATTTTTTTAATATAATATATTGCAATCGGTTACCCAAATCATTACCATTTTTTTATTATGCATATATTACAATTCATTGACTCGAGCATGCAGTTAACAAAGACAATCAGTTACAATTTTTTTAATATTCTGCAATCGGTTACAATTTTTTTAATATAATATATTGCAATCGGTTACCCAAATCATTACCATTTTTTTATTATACATATATTACAATTCATTGACTCGAGCATGCAGTTAACAAAGACAAGGACACCTTATGAATACTTTGACTCGCAGCAAATTTAAAAAAAAATGTAAGATCAAACCCAAAGCCAAAATCAGACTAAACCAGCGCGGTTACCAATTTGACGCAGCAGAGAAGATGAGAAGATGAAGCTCGACAACAGTTGGCAGCGTGGTGTGTCCCTCTAGCACCGATCGAGATGGAGGCTGATGAATGAAGAGCGGGTTGGAGTCTTTGAGATGATAAAACAACGGCGCTGTACCAAAACCTAAGAGAATTAATGTACTATATAAAATAAATTTTATTTAAAAAAGTTGTTTGAAAATACAGGCCAGCCTGGAGGCTAATGGGTTGGGCTTTGCAAAATAGGCATGTGGCCTGATTTTAAAAGAGGCTTTAAAATAAACCCAAATCTGTTTCATTTTTTAAACGGGTCGGGCCGGGCCAAGCCAAAACCAGGTCGGGCCAGAGGCCCTTGACAGGCAGCCTGGCCCATTTACACCCCTAGTGGTGAGCTCCAAAAGCCATTGATCCTCTGTTTTGAGCTTTGGTGAGTTGTACCTACCTTGAGCTTGTGTTTTAATGGGTTAAAGGTGTGATCTTTGCATGTTTAATGAGTTAATCAAGTAACCAACTGGGGTGTGAACCTTAATCAGTATAAAGATGCATGCTTTAACGTAATTAAGTGTTAAAAATGGAACCTGGGAAGGATATCTTCACGAAATGCATTTTCTGCATTCTGTCGTGAAATATCCGGATATGTGCCCGTGAAATATCCGGATATTGGATATCCGGATATGGTATCCAGATATTGGATATCCGGATATGGTATCCGGATATTGGATATCCGGATATGGGTTTTGGGTATCCGGATATTAGATATCCGGATATGGGATTCTGGATATCCGGATATTGCATATCCGAATATGTCCAGTGAGATATCCGGATATTGCATATCCGGATATGGTCCCGAGGAATGTCCGGATATTATGGGTTTGCGATGAACAGTAGCGTATTGTTCATCCAGAACTGATGTTTGGGTTTGTGGACCCTAGTGTGATGAAGTTGAACTTATGTAATTAATTATCTAAGTCAGAATCTAAGTGATTAAGGGCTTATGGCTTGGTGAGAAGCCTTAAGACATAAAGCGTAATAAAAGGCGTTGTCTTTAAGTTATATACTTGTAGAGTATTATTGTTGATGAGTTATTGGTCCATAACAGATTGTGAATCTGCTGAGTTTGGACTTTCAGCTGTGGACCCTTGGTTTTTGGATAGCTAGTTTACAAGGTAAGCTTTCATGTCCTCGGTTTAGCCATGTTGTGGTTCCACCATGTCCAATGGGGGTGTGGTTATATGTATGCTGTGTTACATGATTTGAATATTTGAAATGCTGTTGAGCTTTATGTATAATGGCTTTTAATATGCATGTGTTGTTCCATCTTGACGGTAAGCCTGAGTATGTAGCGTCATACAAGACGGTGATCCGGGGTGGATGCAAGTAGCGTCTTGCACTATTTGTGGGTATTAGACGTATATAAATCCTGCATTTCTCTGGCTAGTAGAATAGAATTGACACACATGACATGATTATCTGCTGCATTGCACTAATTTAGAACTGATGATGATAAACTGCTTTTGAACTTATATTGCACATGTAAATGAGCTTGGGGTGGAAGATCCTTGAGGACCCCTTGTCTTACTGAGATTTCTTGTTTAGAGATCTCACCCCACGTTTGAAGAATGCTTATTTCAGTTCCAGGTAGTATGGTGACTGATGCCTCTGGCGGCAGGAGGTCAGAGCTTAGCTGATATTGATATTATGTTGTATTGCTGCCATGACTGGTTTTGGATGTTGTTTATGTTTTCCCCTATTTATGTTGTTGTTGTTGTTGTTGTTGAGACTGATGTTGGGCGTGTCGCCTTATTTGAGTGAGCATGGGGATTGTCCATGACACTTTATGTAGTACTTTTAGATTAGAGTTGTATAAAGTGCTAGATGGTCCGGTCTACGTTGTTGTAGTTCCGTGACTAGAGTCACACTTTTATTATCTATATTATGAGGTATTTCAGTTAGCTGTTTTATTGCAATTACATACAGGCGATGTTTTATTAATTGATTAATAAGCAAGTTGGTAATGATAATGACATCATAATTGAAAAGAAAAAGATATTCCGCATTTTTTAATTAAGCGCAGCTTAATACGATATTATGATAACATTACCGGATATATACGGGGTGTTACATTTTGGTATCAGAGCAATGGTTCGAGGGAAAAGGCTGTATGTATTGCAATAGTTAGGATGTTTGGTTGCGTCTGTCTTGTGTGTTTACTCCATCGATTTTATTATGATACTGCATATGTGATGGCATAGCGTGGGCCTGATCAACTCATAATTTGTGTAACTTGTGCAGAGTCATGGTAAAGTCTGGGAGAACATGAGAGACTTCTGAGGATCAACTCGATCCTATCCTGACTGCATTGGCTGAGATGCAGGCGGCTAGGTTAGCCGATCAGGAGGCCACTAGATTGGCCAACGCGGCAATGATGGACGCTGTTCGCGAGGCGAACCGGATAGCCGCAGAAGAGGTTCGTGAAGCGAATCGGAGGACCACTGAGGATGTCCTCGAGGCGAACAGGATGGAGAACATGACGATGATGAGAGTCATGTTGGAGGAGATGAGGGCTGGTCCTGCTGTAGGCCAGGCACCACCACCACCACCACCACCACCGCCGCCACCACCGCCGCCGCCTCCACCTAGTGTTCAGGATGAGAGCCTGAGTCACATTGGTAGTGCTGCTCATGTCACTGAGATGAGGGAGACTCTTGTAGAGCCTACGTAGGATCGTGATGTGATAGATCGCCGGCTGAATGCTTTCAGGAAGCATAAGCCAGCTGTGTTTGAGGGGTCTTTGGATCCTATTGCTGCTGCTAGATGGCTGGAGTCGCTGGACAAGATATTTCGGGTCATGCAGTGTACAGATCCGCAGAAGCTGATGTTCTTGACTTTTATGCTGGAGGGCGATGCCCATGAGTGGTGGACGAACACCTCTCGTGCTTATGAGATGCATGGTCGTGTTTTGACGTGGCCATTCTTCGAGGAGTGTTTCTTGGGCAGATACTTTCCCTACGATGCGCAGGAGAGGAAGCAGGGGGAGTTTGATAGATTGGTTCAGGGCCCGATGTTTGTTGACGAGTACCTGGCCAAGTTCAATGAGCTGGTGAAGTTTGCGCACTTCAGGATGGTTCCTCCTACTCCAATGTTTTTGACTGCTAAGTTCCGTAGAGGACTTAGTGAGGTGATTGTTGAGCATATTGCTGGAGCTGCTTCGAGGGACTTTGGTACACTGGTTCAGCAGTGTAAGGACATTGAGGATGTCTGCATAGCGAGTAAGGCCAAGAGGGCCAGGGTCGACGAGACCAAGGGGACTGTTGGTTCCACTCCTGTTTCTACTTCTTGGAAGGACAAGAGGTTTGCTAGGAAGGGCAAGGGTAAACAGTTGGTTACTAGGCCGGCGCCGGGTCTGTTCAAGAGGGCTGCTTCACAGCAAGGGAGTGCTGCTAGGCCTCCTTCCACTCCGAGGTGTTCGGGATGTGGAAAGGAGCATGTGGGACGTTGTGCTTCAGGGCAGTTGGTTTGTTTCCAGTGTGGCAAGGAGAGCCACTTCTCTAGAGGCTGTTCGTCGTCGACAGCGAGAGCTGCAGCTGTCCAGGCAGTTCCTTTGCAGATGGTTCCGATGACTTCTACTTCGGCACCTGCAGTGCCACCTTCCATTGGGCGTGTGTACACCTTGGATAGGCAGCAGTCAGAACGCGCTCTGAACCTTGTTAGAGGTACTGTGTCTATTGGTGGTATTGATGTTGATGCATTGTTTGACTCCGGGGCTACGCATTCGTTTGTTGCTACCCCGATTGCTTTGGGGCTTGAGTTGCCCATGTCTATGCTTTCTCCACCGTTGCGGGTGACTACCGCCACCGGAGAGATATGTGTTTCTACCACTGTACATCGCGATGTAGCGTTTCAGTGGGATGTCCGTGAGTTCTCGGTGGATCTGATAGGATTGCCGATGGCCAACTTGGAGGTTATTCTGGGCATGGATTGGTTGTCTAAAAATTGTGCATTGATTGATTGTTGTGCAAAGCGCGTGGTGATGTCTCCGTGTGATTCCACAGCTAGTTCCTCGCCATATATTTCATTGCTGCAGGCTAGGAAGGCCTTGAGAGCAGGGGCATTTGGTTATGTGATGTTGGGAGGTTTGGTGAGTGGGACGCAGAAGGATATCACTAGCATTCCTGTGGTGGGGGAGTTCCTCGAGGTGTTTCCTGAGGAGATTCCTGAGTTTTCGCCACAGCGGGAGATAGAGTTCTCCATTGACTTGATGCCTGGTGTGGGGCCGATTTCTTTAGCTCCATATCGGATATCGCCACGGGAGTTGGCTGAGCTGAAGAAGCATATTGAGGATCTTTCAGCGAAAGATTTCATCTATCCGAGTGTGTCTCCTTGGGGAGCACCAGTCATCTTTGTGAAGAAGAATGATGGGACAATGCGATTGTGCACCGACTACAGGCAGCTGAACAAGGTGACAATCAAGAACAAGTATCCCCTTCCTCAGATTGATGATCTGTTGGATCAGCTCAGGGGCGCTTGTGTGTATTCCAAGATTGATCTCCGATCCGGATACCATCAGATTCGGGTGAAGCCGGAGGAT